ATATATATATATATATATATATATATATATATATATATATATATATAGTGCCTTGCGAAAGTATTCGCCCCCTTGAACTTTTCAATCTTTTGCCACATTTCAGGCTTCAAACATAAAGATACAAAATTTTAATTTCTTGTGAAGAATCAACAACAAGTGGGACACAATCATGAAGTGGAATGAAATTTATTGGATGTGTCAAACTTTTTTAACAAATAAAAAACTGAAAAGTGGGGCGTGCAATATTATTGGGCCCCTTTTCTTTCAGTGCAGCAAACTCACTCCAGAAGTTCAGTGAGGATCTATGAATGATCCAATGTTGTCCCAAATGACTGATGATGATAAATAGAATCCTCCTGTGTGTAATCAAGTCTCCGTATAAATGCACCTGCTCTGTGATAGTCTCAGGGTTCTGTTCAAAGCGCAGAGCGCATCATGAAGACCAAGGAACACACCAGGCAGGTCCGAGATACTGTTGTGGTGAAGTTTAACGCCGGATTTGGATACAAAAAGATTTCCCGATGTTTCCCAGCATGTTTATCAGAAGCCAGTAGCTAAAAATAGTTGAAGTCTGGGTAAATGATTAAAACATAGTTGTAACCAAAAGCTAAAAGGATAAAGGCTAAAACAGAGCATCTGCTGAAGCAGATATAAAAGAAAACGATGTTTTAGAATGATCTGACAAAAATGTATGTATTTCTATAGGAATTTTTTTTAATTTTATTAAAGTTACATATTTTGAAAAAGTGAAAGTTACGGTGAGTCAGAATTCACATAAATACTAAAAAGATAAATCAGAAAAATTCACTTGAATACGAGGTGACATTGTAGATTTTGTTGTCACCATTTCAGTGGACATGTGCCCCCAAACGCTCACTTATAGCATGCTTTTATTTTTAAAGTCCAACACGTAGCTCTTCCGGTCTGTGTGTCTCAGCCTCTCTCTTCTCTGGTGGAAGTTGACGCAGAGGAGCAGCGGTGTTGTGCAACAAGGCGGTGGTTTGCTTCATTTGACTTCACTTTTTGATTAAAGCGATAAGAAATAATGTGAGCGGAAACCCAGACACTTCCGGTTGCTTCCTCCGCAGTGTTTGTGCTGAAGCTGACACTAAATGAGCTGCTGTTGACTGAGGTCACGTCAGGTTGGAGCTAAGTTGGTAACTTCAGTGTGAACGCTTGTTTGTCTTATGTGTCCTTGTAATGGACATGGAGACGTGTCCAGTGTCCCCTGCCTCTCACACAGTGACCCTTGCGACCTGGAAAGGAAGAATAGAGTAAAGATAATGGATGCAAACCAGAGTACCCGGCGAAAACTAATGTGTGCACAGGGAGAACTAGCTGGGAGGCAAACTTGCAACCTTCTTGTTGTGAGACAACAGCGCTAACCACTGCGGCACTGTGCAACAATAATTTCTCATAGTAATAATAATAATGGGGCAACTGGTAGAGCTGCTGCCTCTCAGCGAGCAGGTTATCCTGGTTCAAATACCAGTCAGGGGGCCCTTCTGGGCAGACTTTGCATGTTCTCTCTGTGCATGTGTGTATTTTCTCCACACACTCTGGTTTCCTTCCACAGACCAAAAACATGCATGTTAGGCTGATTGGTAACTTAAGTTGTCCCTAGGTGTAAGTGAGAGTGAATGGTTATGTGTCCCTGTGATGGACTGGAGACCTGTCCCCACCAGGTAGGGTGTCCCCTACCTCTCACACAGTGATGGCTGGACATGAGCACCAGTGACCCCCCGTGACCCAAAAAGGAAGAAGTGGTTAAAGATAATGTGGATAGATCTTTAGGCACTTTGTAATCAGCAGTCTTTCTCACGGTTTGTAGCTGTTCCTCCTGTTCAATCTAAGAAAAACACCAACCTGAATTATTACACTATTATACTAGATCAGCTGAAGGACGATGCTCCTCTCACATTCTGTTGGGCTTTTGGTGAATTTTAATTATATTTTTTACTGTTTCTTAAAGACTCAACTTGCAGAGATATCTGTTGGTTATAGATCTTAAGGCCTGACGTTTCTACCCTGTCTTATTTACTTTTTACCTTTGTCAGGTCAAAAAGAGTGCAGGTATTGAACCAGGGCTATCCTTATCTCCGATCCTGTATGTAGTGTTTATGGACAGGATCTCAAGGAGCCGTCCTGGAGAGGATGGGGTCTGGTTTGTGATCCCCAGGATCTCATCTCTGCTTTATGCAGATGATGTGGTTCTGAACTTCTGCTGTGGTCTTAGGGCCAAGACCTTCAGTCTGCACTGGGGCAGTTTGCAGCCGAGTGTGAAGCAGCTGGGATGAGAGTAATTTTCTCTATAGGCTCCCACAGACTTGGGCAGACCTCAGTCCACAGAGGTCCGCACGTACCAGAGTTGAAGCGGACGCCCGCAGGGCATGTCCATGCAAAGCTCAAATTTTACGACCGCGTACGTGTACTCGGTGTCGCACAATAAACTGCCCGGCAACCGACTGTTTTGTATGCAACACCAATGTATTAAATTCCCCTTCTTCATTCGTGGTCTGGTTTAATGGCCTTTTGTGTTTTTACCAAGAGGCAAGCAAATCTCTTCTTCCTCATCCGTTGACGCCATGACTGAAATTGTGAGAAATGAAGGAATTTGTCACGAGAGAATTAAAATCAGGCCAGGCGTGGATGCGGGAGGATCTGGAAATTTCCCTGTGGGCTGGTCTGATGTGTGGGCTGCAGGGCCAGCGCTCCCTGTTTTTGTAATGTTTTTTTTTTTGGTAGAACTTTTTATGAACAACATAAACACAGAACACTACTGCTTCTTGCTGCCAGCTCTAGTTTTTTTGTTTGTTTGTTGTTTTGCAACCTGTCAATCAGTCCAGTAGGCGTGTCAGCAAATGACCAATCGGTGAACTCAATTTGTCCCGAAGGTAAACGCCTTATGCCTGCGGAGCTGGGCTGCAGCCGGTCAGGGTGTACGCTTGAGTATGAAGTCTCAACTGTCCTCAGACAGTGCACGTAGTTTCCACATGGACTGAGGTCCGCACGAGTATGTGGGAGCCTTAAGTCTGAGGCCGTGGTTCTTGGAAATGCATGGAATGCCACCTCAAGTTTGGAAGAGAGACTATGCCTCAGGTGGAGGAGTTCAAATATCTGGATATCTTATTTCTGAGTGAAGGTAGGATGGAGCTAGAGATGGATCCACAATTCAGGGCCTCATTCTCATTAATGAGGACATTGCATCAGTCGTGGTGAAGAAAGGAATTGTGTCCAAAGGCAAAACTCTCCATTTACTGATCTGTCTACGTTCCAACCCTCATCTGTGATAATGATGTTTAGAACAGGACTGAAAGAATCCAATCCTGGATCCAAGCAGCTTTAATAAGCTTACCTTGTAGGGTGGCAGGACTCAGCCTTAGAGATGGGGTGAGGAGCTCCATCATCTTGAGATAGTTCAGAGTAGAGCTGCTGCTCCTCTACAGCGAAAGGAGTCAGTTGAGGTGGTTTGAGCATTTGATTAGGATGCCTCCTGGACACCTCCTTTTAGAAGTTTTCTGGGTATGTCCCATTAATAAAAGGTGCCAGGGAAGACCCAGAACCCTTAGGATTGTGATTGTGTGTCTTCTTTGGCACGGGAATGTCTTGGGGTCCCACAGGAGGAGCTGGAGAGTTGCTGGGGTGAGGGAGGTCTGGGTTTCTCTCCTGGACCTGTAGCCTCTATGGCCCGACTATGGAGAAGTGTTAGAAGATAGAGATGAAAATCTGTCTCCTTGGAACAAAATACCTCAAATATTTTGAGGGAATGCATGCTTATCACCTGCCGCCTTTCAGGGTGCATTCACACCAGCCCTGTTTAGTCCGCTTTAATCGAACTCTAGCTCATTTTCCTAGAAAGTCCGGTTCGTTTAGGGAGGTGTGAACGCGCCATCGAACTCTGTCACGGAACAAAAAGGCGAACTCTGGCCCGGGCTAAAACCTAGGTCTCGGTACGGTAGAAGCGAACTCCAGCGCTGTTCGAGTACAGTGTGAATGTAAACAGACCGGACCGCTCCGCAGGACAAACAAACACGCATTTCTCTTACCTTATATGGAGCCGTCAGCTGCCTTGTGTGGAAAAACAATATTCTCCATGGTCTTCTGCTCATGCTAAGTCTATTTTTGAAAAATGACTAAATATAACTCCTAAAACTGCTAAAACTTGATGCCACTTTGTTTTTATTTTTATTTACAGAAGAAGAAGAAGACGTGTCTTCAGAGGTTTTTGTGTCATTTCTTTCAGTAGTTCTTGGTGCAGCGCCCCCACAGGCGAGTGGGGGAATAGGTTGGTTCAACAGGTTGACTCGACTGCACAGTGCAGTGTGAATGCAAATGCACCAGTTCAAATGTAAACAAAATGTCATGAATATTGGTCCCCAACCGAACCGAGTCTACCGGACTATCAGGTGTGAAAACGACCTCAGACTGGGATCATAAAATGAGCATCTTGTTCAAAATTTAAATTAATTTATGTGTGATTTCATGGGATATTATGGGGCCTGTTAGTGTATGTTGAGAAAGACAATAAGCTTTCAAACACTCAGATTATCACATAGTTCAAGACTTTTGTACCGTTGTATAGCTGATAATATGTCAGCCTTCGTTGTGTCAGATCTGTTGTTGTTTTCAGAAACATACAGTTGAATTATGAAGAACATGTGTTACTGCTTACACAATGATGGGGGGTTCTTCAGATACACACTCAGCCCCTGTTGTCCTCGGACAACCATGACAACAACACAACACCCGTAAACACACACATGCACACACGTTACCACAATCTGAGGACAACATGATGAGAACACGCTGTTCACGGAGGGCAAAGAGGAAGTTTGGTGTCATGTTTGAGCTGTGCCTACGCCCACGTAGACCAGCGTCTTACAGGACATGTTGATTGGAGCTTTAACCAGAAGTCTCTTATTAGACAGTACGAAATCAGCAGAAAAGAACTGATGTCAGCGTGTTTTTATTCCAAGTTATCCTCAGATGAACTGCAAAGTTCACCAGAGGATACCACAGTAATTAAAACTTTTTACAGATTGAAGTTCTAAAAGTATGGCATATTCTAAGGATAAGTCATGTATTTAAGTAGTACACCAGTGTCCCCTGTTGTTGAGAGATTTGAATAGTGAATGTTTTTAGTTTTGGAGATGAATGTTATTCTGAACTGGAACAGAGAATCCAAGTAAACAAGTGTATCCCTACTTCATGGTTTTTCACTTGTTGCATGTAGACGTGGTCCCAAACACCCACGATAACGAGGGACTACTGGAGTGACCTGCGTGGATGGAGGGTATTTCTAAGTCTCCCTCCTTTGCTCCACAACATTAAATTAGTATGGTTATTACTCTAAAAATAAAAGTACAGATCGTTTCTGTTCAGAGAGAGGGAGTGAAAACACTAATAAAGGAAAGTAAACACGGGCACCTAATGCTCTGTCCTAGCACATAATCTGAAGTCAGATTATCTTTCATTTTAGATGAAATTGGTTTTACCACCAACATCCACTAGATGACGTCAGAGCTGAAATTATCTTGACTCCAGAGTGAAGATTTACCAGGCCACTGAAAGTTACCAGTAGTATCTGTAGTATTGTTTCAAATTATAGTTTTAAAGTAATTTTTTGTTCCAAACAATGTATTTTATCTGCAGTAAAATCTGGTTTATTGTTTTTAATTGATTTAATCTCAGACATTTCCGTTTTGTACTGTTTCAGTCAGAACAACAGGGACAGGAAAACCTCATTAAATGTGATTTACTGAAAATGATTTTAGTTTTTTTTTATGTGTTTGTTGAGAAAACAGCCAGTTCTCAGTCAGTTTTACAGATATAAAGCTAAAACTGGGCAATGTCATAGCTGAGCATTATCCACAACGTCCTCAGCACCGTCTCTAGGTGGAAACGCGTCATGAACATCCTTTACGAGGGTTGCACAAAACAGTTACAACTCTCTTTTTTTCCTCATCATGAGATGATGTCAGTCTCGAGATGGGCGATGTGCGTTACTTCAAAAACTGACGAATGTGCCGAGGACGTGTCGCCCAGCGCAGTAAAGTTCTTGTTTTAGGAGCGGCTCTCTGCTCGCGGCGTGAACATTGTGCTTAGTCATCATTTCTGTCTATTCCTGGATGAGGGACAGCGCTGTCGGAGCGGTACGTTTAAGAGGCTCTTCAGATTAGGAGGGATATGGGTCAGCAGAGGTGGATTCACCGTCCAGGGCCCACGTCTGCATGAAAACCTCGTCTGTTCCACCAATGTTAGCTGTAATGTTTGTTTGTCAAAATTTACAGCTTGATTCAAACCAGGGGCCAGTTTCTACAACTGAAGTCTGATACATGTTTTCTTCAACGTCCTCTGTTGCTCTTTCCACATCAAATCAAAGATTACTGAAACATTCAAACACGGTTTCTTGGAGCTTCACGACAGCCTGTACTAAATAGAGTATGTTTGGTTTTTAATCAAAATGAGAGGTGATTAAAAAAACATTTTACATGTATTACATCTTCAGGTTCAGATGAGATGTTAACAAGGGCCAGATTTGGCCCTCGGGCCTACAGTTTGACACGTGCTTTAGAGAGACATCCGCTGGGAGTTGGAGGGGTTTGGGTTTGGTTGTGTACACAAGTTGCACACACATACACACACACGCACACAGCTGTGAACTGATATTTGCTGATTCGCCCTAAACCCAATCGTCCTTCATTTGCTCATTATTTTGGTCTAACTTTTGTTTTATTGTCCTTGTGTGATCCCACTAGTTCAGGTCATTTATCGCTCTAACATTCGAGCCCTAAACCAGCACTTGATTCCTGTCGTGACAAACTGGATTTTCTTTTCTTGGGCTTCGCCCGTTTTGGCTCGGAGGATCCTAAAAGACTGACGCATGAGAAATGCAGCAAACCCCCATGGGACAAACAGGGACGTCCCTTTGTTATCTCTAATTACTTGTTCTCCAGCAGGAATCACATTCATTTAATCTGTGGGACTTGCTGTGTGTGTGCGTGCGTGCATGTGTGTGTGTTCTGTGGGCCAATTAAATCACAGTGCAGTGTGGGTCTCTATGGTAAGAACAGTGATCCGTCATCAGAAAAAATGTTTGGCAACTAAATATTTACCTTTGTGTTCACTGAGCAGTGACAATATTTCTGTTATTTCTAAATAATCCATGACCTCATCTTAAATTCAACAAGGACAAATCATTATTAATGCTATGAGGATGCACATGGTGTATAAGAGAACAGAGCTTTTAGAGTGGACTCCAGTCAATCCTCTTACATTGTGCTTCAGTGAAACTGGATTAGTGAGTAACACCTACGTTTGGACCCCGGGTCACTTTGGGAGGATTTACCTGAATGGGCCCGTGGCTGACACCTGCCTCCAAACTCAATAAAACAAAATTATTTTCTCATTTTTCTTCAAATATGGACCCGGAGTGTGTGCTTTTATTTGTTTTTTGGACATTTTTGAGACATGTCGCCTGTGATCAGACCTGTTTGTGGACCTGAACTGGAGCCTTTAGAGACGCTGACTGGAGAAGGTAAATAGATCTCCAGGGTGCAAAAGTTCTCTCCAAACGCCACAGGTGCACCTGCTGAGCACATGCCTGTCACTCACAGCCCATATTTCAAACGCAATGAACGGGATGAGGTTTCACCAGAAAGGCACCGAAATGGTTTGAAGATGGTGAGTTGACAATTTTCTGTGAAGACTGACGAACTCATCAGATCCTGGAGCTGTTGTGATGTCAACAAAGGTACGTTGGTTTTTTTCTGACTCTGAATATATGAGATAAATGATATCATCATATATAAGATAAATTATTTGATAAAATCATATAAAGATATATGAGAAAAATTATATCATAGTAAGTCTGATGCGCAATATGATGCATGAGATAAATATGATATTCAAGACAATTTGATTACATATTAAATAAATAATATGCTGATATATCAAGTAAATGATATGATTTTTAAGATAAATTATATGACCACAAGAGAAATGAAATGAGATCGATGATACATGAAATAAATGATGTGCTAAAATGTCAGATGAATATGTGAGACATTATATAATAAATGATAGTGATTCATCAGATGAACAATATATATCAGATAAATGATACAACAGTAGATTAAATTAACGATAGGATGACATACAAGAGAAATTATGTATCTGATAAATATTAAAAAGCATTAAATAAATGACACAGTATGTACCAAATTATAAAATGAAAACTGAGAAAATGCTTTCATAAATCAGTCAAATTGAAATTATTTCAGATAAATATGGTACTAAATGAAAATTGATTGTTATACATATGACAAATTTTATTAATTAAATTATACAATGAGACATCAGATAAAATGATGATAATGGCTAAATAATTTATAATAAATGAAATTATAATATATCAGATAAATGAGACAAATACATTTCAGATATATAATGACATCTGAAAACAATATATTATTTGATAAATGAGATTATAAAAGATAAATCACTCACACTACTATTTCTGTTTTACAGGTGTCTCTACAAGTTAAATCAATGTGAATAAAATATTCACTACCTTGAAAAAGCTAGAAGGACAATGCAACATATTTCTCTAAATGGTTGGAAGTCCAACCATTCATGTGTTCCTGTAACAAAAAGCAGGCAAACGTTGCAGACTCTGCCCTTTTCTCTGGTATGGGTTGTTCTGGGCGTGCTCACCTTCCCTTGCTGTGTCCGCTGTCTAATATTCAAAGTGGGGATCGTGGGGCCTTGGGACTGCGACCCTATTTACTACAAGGCCCTTCCTACTGTAGCTGCCAGGCTCGCTGTCAGCAGAATCAATGGAGACCTCAGTCTGGATCTGGGTCTGACGATGGACTTCATCATCCTTCAGGAGCCTTGTGAAACCTCCAAAGCGCTCACGACTTATATTAACTATGACAAATCAGCAGATGCCTTCATTGGCTCCACCAACCCAGGATACTGTATCGCAGCTTCTCTGCTGGCCAAGAACTGGGACAAGGCGCTCTTCTCCTACAGCTGTGTCAGCTATGAGCTGGACCGGTCCATTGGGTATCCAACGTTTGCACGGACGTCACCTTTTCCCATTGACGTACTGTTCACGATGTTTAAGCACTACAGGTGGGCCACCTCTGTGGTCATCTCGTCCAATGAGGACATCTGGATAGACACTGCTGGGAGAGTGGCTGGTGCTCTGAGGAGGAAGGGGCTACCTGTCCCCCTTGTTACAGCTATGGGTCTGAATGAAACGGAGCTGGAGGGCACGCTGAGGAAGATCCAAGATATAGGACCTGTGAGAGGTCAGTGAGGAAAATGGGCTGAACACATCACAGTTGTAAAACATAAAAAATAATTCCCCAAAATATAAAAACAAGGCAAATATTGTCACTTCCCCAGTTGTTAAAATATCAAATGTCAGCTGAGTTATTAGAAAAGATATTTTCTGTGGATCTCTGCCATTTTAAAACAACTCAAATTGGAAAAAGTTAATTTCAGTCCATGTAAACGTGTTTTTCTACACCATGTTGTAAATGTCCCTTTAAACATTTGTTTACATGAAGATCTAAGGTTATTCATGAGCACAACTAGTGGCAGCAGCTTCAGTGCTGCTTTCTGTAATTCCAGCAAGAGAATCAGAATATTCCTTCTGAAGCAACAGTTTGATGTCTAATTGCTGAAAATGTAAAAGTTTATTATTATTAGACCTTTATTTATACAGGTTAGTTCCCATTGAGCCTCAAAGACTCATTTACAAGAGAGACATGTTACATACAACATACAGGCAGATGAGAAAAAGAGCGCACGAGGATGGAGGAAGCCAAAAAAAAAAAAAGAAAATCATGTCTCACACCATGTCCTGGCCGGGAAATATTGTGAAAGATGCAAAAGAAGACCTTGCAACATAAAGCAGCAACACAATGACATCATAATACATTTATGCATAGAAGTCGACAAAGCCGGTGAGTTATCCATAGACACTCAAGAAAGTTCCAAAGTTCTGATAACATGGTACAGTGTCTATCAGCATCATGGTTCTGATAAGCCCGCTGATGTCCTCGGGTGTGGGGGTAGGCAGAAGCTTCTAGTTTACATATCCGCCAGGAGCACTTTGAGATAAGTTGGCCAATCTCAGATAAACAATTGTTTTGGCCACCAGACTCTGTTTTCTGACTGACTTCAAGTTCTGCTGGTACACTCAATGGTGAATCTAAACAGCCAGATCTGTGCACATTCCACCCGGTTTGTGCTCGATTTAGGATTCTCCAAGATTGAATCCTTTATGCTGGCGAGTTCCAGGAGTCGCAAGTGGCCTACGATTCTCAGAAATTGCGTCCAGATTGCAGTTGAGCTCACTAAGCCTATGAGTCTGAGCGCTTGAAGCATGAATTAATCCTTCACATAAGGCTGGCAGTTTTACCATGGCTGAAACTGCTGCTGACGTCTTCCTAATATGTCGATATCCTAGGTATCCACCGATTCCAAAACGCAGAAACCCTGTTATCATAAATCCAATAATGTACACATCTTCTACTTCCTCCACTGACAGCACAGATAGACACATCATCTTCCACTCACCCTAGTATTCAATGACATACCCAGCTGCGTGGGTCCGTTCAGGGCATGAGGGCTCTCCAGCACCCTGTCGTCTGGTGGAAAAAAATGTATCAATTGCGTTGAGGGACCAGCTGACCAAATCTATAATAATTTTCAATTTGGAAGATGTGTAAAGAGAAGCTCTGAGGTTGACAGGAAAAGAGAGCAACAAAAAGCAGGAGGGAGGGAGGGAGGGAGGGAAGGCAAGAGCGACCGTCTTCGTCGAGAGCGAAAGAAGGAAATGAAGGAAATTATAAAATGCAAAGTCATGATTTTTTTAAAGCACTTGGGTTAGGGTTGGCTAACCCAAGCACCCACTGCTCTTGAACACTTTTAGATTATTCAGTAGCTCACCAGCTTTGACTCCATTTCTTCAAAATTCATTTATTCAAAAAGTTATTTGTAAAATGTTCACAAAGTATTTTACCTTATTGTCCTCTGTTACGGAATGAAGAGGGGAAATTGAAAAACCTCCATCCATCCATCCAACCGTGCATGCTGTGAGCATGATAACTTGAAAACTAAGTGAGATATCGACTTCCAATTTTGTGTATGTCTGCATCAGATGAAAGAAATTTTCCTTTTGAAAAATGGGTTACCGCATCAAAATCCAAGATGACTGCTACCATAAGTGTACATATGTTCAGTTCAATTGAATTTAGTTATATATATAGTTCAAAGTCACAACAGAAGTTGTCTCAGGGCACTGTACAAAAACCTTCACATACATTATAAAAACCAATTAGGAAAAGTTATCTATCTAAGGAAGCCAGCAGACTGCGCTGAATCTTCACTTCATCACAGTCTCCCATCCTGAGCAAGCACAAAGGCAATAGTGGAAAGGAAAAACTATCTTTGAACAGGAATAAACCTCCAGCAGAACCAGGCTAAGAACGAGCAGCCATCTGCTTCGACCGGTTGGGGTTAAGAGGACAGGAAGTAGAAACAGACACAGAATGGTAGGTCCATAACTTTCTATTGGAGGAAAGACTAAAAAACTCAGGATAGAAATAATTACAAATGCAAACAGGTAGAGTAGATAAAGTAAAAGATGGCAGCAGAGAGAGGAAATGTGGTCAATTTGTCCTCTAAGCCTATAGCAGCATAATTTAGGGATAGCTCAGGAAACCTATGCCAACCCTAACTATAGGATTTATCAAAAAGGGAAGTTTAAATCCCAGTCTTAAAACTGGACGATGTGTCAGCCTCATGGACAGAGACTGGAAGTTGGTTCCACAAGAGAGGAGCCTGAGAACTGAAAGATCTTCCTCCCATTCTGCTTTTGGAAACTAGGAACCACAAGTAAACCTGCAGTCTGAGAGCGAAGTGCTCTGTTAGGAAAATATGGGACAATAAATTCTGTAATATAAGATGGAGCTAGGTTGTTGAGAGCTTTGTAGGTTAGAAGTAAGATTTTGAATTCAATTCTGAATTTGACAGGGAGCCAATGGAGAGGAGATAAAACTGGAGAGAGATGATCTCTCTTACCAACTCTCATAAAAACTCTGGCAGCAGCATTTTGGATCAATTGAAACTGAAAATTTGAAAAATAAGCAAGACTTCCATTTTAGTGTATGGGTGCATCTAAGCAAAATAAAGGTCACCATAGAAAATTAAACTGACAAGTCAAAATCCAACATGGCTGGTGCCATCTGTATGTATAATGATTACCCCCCTGTCATTTGAGAAAATTATAATTTGTAGTTTTTATATTGCTTAAAAAAAACTAGTTGCCTCTAATTTAGGTGTGCGTTGGGGTGGACAATGATTAATCTGTGGTGGTCAAGGCCACCATTGGCCACCCCTTGGCTCCACCAGAGTTCAGTCATGGAGGAAAATGCTCCCTCCACTCTCCAGGTTCTGTCACTCTGTGCTGTCTCAGACAAATAATAATAATAATCCTCCCGCTGTTCTTCTCCTCCGTGTAACTCCTCTCCACTTGAATGACTTACAATAAAAAACATAAAGGTTTACTTGCATTCCCTGTTCAACTATAGTCCACAAAATCACTCATCTCCAAAATTACATACATCCACTTTTCAAATCCCTCAGAGATGGGGGACATACAGTATTGGCGTACCACTTGTTTGTATTTAGAAAGTGACACGATACTTTTAGAACATCCACATTCTCTATAGTTTATAAATCATCACCAAAAAAATGTAGCATCTACTGAAAATGTTCATCTTTTGTTTTGTCTTTTTCAGTCATTATAATGTGCATGCACTCTGTCCTTTTTGGAGGTGAACCACAGGCCGTTTTTCTCATAAAAGCACATAAGATGGGTATGACTTCAGGGCGGTATGTGTTCGTGACCTACGACACTCTGCAATACAGCGTGCCCTACACCAATGTCTCCTACTCCCCTCTCCAAAACAACAGCGTCCTGAGGGAGGCCTACGATGCTGTGCTTACCGTCACCGTAGCATCAGAGCCGAAGTCCTTCACCGCAGCATTCACCGCTGCAATTAGGAGCGGGGAGGTGACGGTGCCGGTGCAGGCAGAGCAGGTATGAAGGCGTTCAGTGTCACAAGTGACGTACAATTCACAGAAAACACAGACTCTTCATGTTGGCTTTTTTTATTCTGCCTATTTTTAAAGACACACACCACACTCCTTAAAAACATTTTCTATTTTCTTATCTACTGGTTTATTGAGAAATTCTCAACAATGAGTTTGATATTGTTGCAAAAAAGTAAAAATGGTCTACTTAGTCTTATTTTAGATACACATGCTTAGACTCAGATTCTCCCATAAAACTCAGACTGGTGAAGAACTCTGGCAGCAGTTGTGAGCTCAGTCTCCCCTTTCACCTGCTTTAACTTGTAACTCCTTCACAGTGGTCACACAGGCAAAGGTGTCTGGGTGGTCTCTCTCATTGCAGTGGTCTCTTGCTACTTTGCGGTTCGTTTTTCGTGGACTCGCTCTATCGCGGTTTTTCAAAGTAAAATTGAACACGACACAACAATTGACTGATTGATGGATGAGCCACAGGATAGGCATGACGTTTTTATTTAAAATAAATTATTTTAAATAATTTTATTTTGCACCTTTGTGCAGCCCACAGGATCTCCGCGCTGCAGCGAAGAGAAGTGGGCGTGGCCGAGAGCACTGGAGACAGGGAGCTGAAATCATGACATTCTGTGCTCTCTTAGAGCATTTAGAGTTTAGAAACATTGTTTACAATATTGCAAGAGTGTGGGAAATGTGTGTATATATTAAAATAAACTACTACTTACTACTTGTACCACTATTCCTACTTCGCGGTTTTTCACTTATCATGGGGCTTCTGGGTACGGATCCTCCGCGATAAAAGAGGGACTACTGTATTCTCTTCCTTCACGTTCTCTCAGCTTGTGATGATGGCCTGCTCTTGGTAGATTTACAATTGTCCTATATTTCTTCCATGTCTCGATGGTGGATTTAACAACTGGGGATGTTTGGGGTCTTGAAAACCCTTCTGTGTCCAACTCCTGACATCATTTATTTTACAGTACACATTTTATTAATTGTTATTACACTGTGGAAATTTAATTTCACTTTGAAGTGGAAGATTTTTTTGTGAGAACGGCCACTTTTAATTAGCGATGGTTGTTTTTTTGTCAGCAATAAAAACATAAAACATCCAAGGGGGTGAATGCTTTTTATAGACATGGTAAATATAAGTAAAATATTTATTCCAAGTTGCCTGTTATTGCTTTAGCTAGCCCACAAAACACTGACATTAAGCAAATTGTACCAGCTGTATAGTTTCTACATGTAGACTACAGAAGATATGTGTTGTAGCTCTGGTATAAGTGTTGCTGTGACCTGCAGGTGAACCCACTGTTTGGGACCATCTACAACAGCATTTACCTGCTGGCCATGTCCATCCACAACACCAGGAAAACAGGGATGCATGTGTCAGGCTCCAACCTGGCCTACTTCACAAAGAATACAACGTTCGATGGATTCAACCAGAAGGTCTATGTGGACACAAGTGGAGAAGTTAAGACCAACTACGTCATTCTGGACTCTGACAGGACAGGAAGTCAGCTCCACCAGGCCTTCATAGTGGATCTAAAGTCAGGCGTTCTTCGTTTTGCTGGAAGGTCCATCCAGTTTCCAGGAGGATCCCCTCCGGCGGCTGACTCCCGCTGTTGGTTTGATGAGAATGTCATCTGCACTGGAGGTTGGAGGCTGTTGAAGTTTAATCTGAACGTAGTTTTAACGGCTCTGTCTTTAATCAGTAATTCACCCATTGCTCTCTTTTCTCACATTGTCAAGTTAAATGTTCTAATCCTCAGGTGTGGAGGTGACGTACATCATCATCGTTTTGGGTGTCATTCTCAGTCTGGGTGTCGCAGGACTCCTCATAAGTTTCTACATCAGGTACATCCTTCAAACGTGGTTTGGTTTCCAGGTTCTGGAACCATTCAGAGCACCACAAATGGGTGCCATCTTATCTTTAAAAATCATGGTTGATTTCCAACAGCTGTTTTTCCCCTGACCATTATGTATTTTCAGTTAAACTCAAAATTTATTGGTCACCCTGTTATCGTTGCTTGGATTGTTTTCCTTATAGTTTTTGTATCTTATTGATAGGAGGAGGCTTCAACAGATCCAGCTGATCAAAGGTCCCAACCGGATCCTTCTGACTTTAGAGGATCTTACGTTTATCAACCTGCAGCTCAGGAAAAAGGCAAGCAGCAACCA